TATATTTTAAAGTATTTATTAAAAATAAATGACATTAATTTCATGTTGGAAGAATTTGTTATCTCCATTGATGTGTACTGCTGTTTCATATTTCAGATCAAATGAAACTATCTAATTATTGGGTTTTTCGCAACGACTGTATAATATTGGAAATAAAATATTTTATTCATCATATTACTCCTAAAATGGATGCAAAATTTCTACGGGCAATGTTTTTTTTTTTGGTTTATCTTATTTTTTTAAAACAACTCAAATTAAATTCACATTAAGTTGTAATAAATAAATATTAATTTGGATAAATTGAGGGTGGTTGTACCGGGTAAGGGCAAATGTGTGAGCCCCCATATTTGTAAAAGGTAAATGATAAGTGTACTGTTTTACTTTTAATGCATGCAAAAAAATGAGAATTACAAAAAAAGTTGCACAAGTGATAGAAAAGGTTTATTTTTTTTGTCACATGCAAACAGTTCCGTTTGTCCATGAATTTTTATAAAAACTTCAAAAACTGATTGCAATAATAACAATTATTTTATAAATAACTATTATATTTGTTCAATATAAATATAATTGTAATTTTATAATAATGTACTTTTATATAGTTACTTATTAAATTTTCTTTTTTTTTTTTTTACGAAGTGGCATGACAATTGGAGGAGAAGGCCGTCTACACCGTAAATTCAATTTTGGATGAATAAAATCTAAAGATGAAGCATGATTAGATATAAAATAAACACCGATATTGGTCTATTTTGCTTTTCATTAATACAAGTGCGCATTCAAAAGGTTTCATCAATACATACGATTTTTTATCTTCGATGCGCCCATAGCGCTTGAGCTATGTTGTCACGCAACACACTATGCTCACCAGGGCCGACGTTGGAGTTATTACTCGACATAAAAGGGAAAGTCCGATCAGTTGGATCATGTCGTCGTACATATTCTGGGTTGCTGAGTTCAGGCGGCATGTTTTCGAGCGGTTCATGCATCCGAATAAAATTGTGTAGGACACAACATGCGATTGCTATGTCGGTTTGGAAATGAACTTTGTATTTTGGCATCAACCCCTTTATAATGGGAAACTTCCCTTTTAGCAAACCAAAGCTGCGTTCGATAACATTACGGACAGTGGCATGTCGTCTGTTAAACAACTTACGAGCATTGCCAGGCAATTGGTTAGACCCCAACCAATCCGGAAGATGATATCTTTCACCATGATATGGTGTCATGAAACCCGGAATGTGTGCATATCCGGAGTCCACCACGTAGAATTTACCTACATGAACATGCATTTTTTACTTAAAGGAAGACAATTGTTATAAATTCATTTGAACTTGTATTTACTTTAACTACATTATACCATTTTAATAGTGTCATGGTCAATGTACCTGGCGGTGGATAGGGGAAATTATATATGGGTTCCGATAGTGTCTGATTGAAAATGCGTGCATCGTTTGCGCTGCCTTCCCAACCCGCTAGAACAAAAGTAAACTTGAGGTCAAAATCGCACGCCAACATCACAGTTTGCGCTAAATACCCTTTCCTACATTTGTAGGAACCATGTTGTCCTTCTGGCACCCACACAGGTATAATAGTCCCGTCAATTGCGCCAATGCAATCCTACGAATAGGAGATACAATTTCAACAATTCAAGTACTTTTGTTCAAATTAACGGTGTATGACACATTAAAAAATAAAAAAGTGTTGAATTTACCTTGAAGTAGGGATATAAATTACGGTTATTTCTTATCCACGGTGCAACACGGTTGAAGTCTGGGGATGAATGTAGTCGGGGGCGAGATAACAAAGTGCATTCATGACTTTGTGACAATGACGACTGATTGTCTCCCCTGATTTTCTGAATGTTTCAGCCGCAAATCGTTGCCTTTGATGCCCTTTTATTGTATGCAAAAAAATGGCTACGCTTTCTTCAATGCCTATTTTTGTTTGTCTTTTTTAGGTGGAATCCAACCCTTTTGATTTCGGCATAAAGGATGCTGAAATGACATTGATTTATGCCCATTGCATCTTTAAATCGGCGAGAATTTCCAGCTAACAATTCATTTACCCAGTCCAAACCCGAGTACGTGGATTTTCGGTAGGGAATTCTTCATAATGGGGGAAAGGCGGACGACAGACTCTCGTAAATGTTTACAAGTTGTTGAAATTGGGCCCCCATCATTAACGAAGTTTCCAACGGGTTGTCGTTTTCCACCGTATCAAATTCGCTGTCAATGTCTTCAGGAAAATCATCGATCTCCTCTTCATATGTGTCACAATCATCTATGTCAGACATCCTACAAATAAATATAATAGTGGCTAAAAACACATAGACAAATGGTCACAAACAAATTGGCACATAATCATGCAGAAAAATTTCAAACACAGTAGCTTGGAAACAAAGTTCATACAGAGTACAGTTGGAAACAAAGTTCCACCAATCTACATCCCCACAAATCACATCCCCCTTCACTGTGGATCGGGGCCCTTATTAATCCACATATTAATAACATGTTGACGCCTCTCGTCACTAGTAATCGCAGCAAACATGGCTCGATTTGTGGGATCCCGAAGCTTACTGCAAACAAACTAGAAAAGATCTTCGTCTATATTCGACATTACTTGGAGGTCGCGCATTGCCTGTTCCATCGTTGTTAGCTTTACGGGTTTGTTGTTTCTTTCTTTCAGCGACACATTCAAGTCGAACCACGAGTACATGGTGGTGTCGAAATTGGACTCTGTGCTTCTCCTTCGACGAATGGACCGATTTTGCCCACCATGCCGTCGATGAGATGTCGGGGTCTCCATTGGATCCTCATCTTGCTGCGTAAAAACATCGGGGCTGAAATTTCCTGATGGCTCACCACGTCCCTCGGGCACACGTTGAGTCGATGCCCTTGCATTCGACCCCGTAGCAGTCGTCCCATGAAAAATAGTCGTCAACTCATCGTAGTGCACACATACCTTGTCCTCCATGTCATGATAGCTCGGATTTGCCTGTGGACGTCATAAAACAATGAAAAATCATATAATATAAATTTGCCAAGTAGTACAGGGCATTAGTTGATAAAATTATTCCCCAACAAACAAGCAGTAAGGGCATAATATATATATACAAGAGACAATTCTATGTACAAGATGAAATTAAATAATATTTTTATATTAAAAAAAAAAAGGAAAAAAAATAAGAACAGGTGTACAAGCCACAGTATATTTGAAAGAAAATTGAAGCAAAGATAAATACGTAGAAAGTAATTGTATGTTATAACCTAAAAAAAAAAAAGCAATCAGAACAGGTGTACATGCCACACATATTTGCAACACAATTGAAGCTAGCAAATAACAATTGTCATTTGTATGTTATAACAAACAGTAAAACATACTTACAGCTTTCCAATTTTGCCAACCATCAGCGTCTCCCGTAATCATTTTTTTGTGTAGATCCCAACTCAATCTGATGGCGTTGGTAACCATGTTGTGAAACTTTCTCCAATACACTTTCATCCGTTGGTACTTACGTTGCAGTTGTGTGACTTTGTAAGGATAGTAAATAGGACACTTCTCTTGCAACTTCACAAGAATGGTCACCCATTTATTCGGTGTGAACTTACGGTTACACGGTTTCCCATCACTATTTCATCTAACAGAACATTGACAAAAGTGGCTTCATTTTCGGGAGGCCATTTGGCGTCGCCTTGAGTGTACACAGAAGAAGGACCAATACCACTCGAAAATGGCATCTACAATATGACAAATTGCCATCTACAATATGACAAATAACAAACCAAAAATCATTGGTGTATGCTATGCTTCACAATCACATGTACAAATCAATTGTACAAATGGATATTTGGACAATCATATTCATTCTGCAATCCAAACAACGAAAAAAAAGGCAACATAATAAGAAAAGCCACAATCGGAATTGGAGGTTCACAGAAATATCATAATCATGGTTATTGGTTGCCGTCTCCATTTACCCAGCCCAAAATTTTGTAGCAAAGGATTGAAACATCAAACATAGTAAAATTCAACAATGTTTGTATAGCAAAATAAAAACAATCTCCTAACTTAAAAAAACGTAATTTGTTTCATTTTTTTCCAAATATTTTCCACACAAATAAAATTAACTCAGGGACGCGCCTTGAACCACAATTTTCTATAATACAAATCAATGGAGGAGAAGAGGAGTATGCTCTACCTTTGTTGGTCGGAGTCTCTTTTTTTTTTCGGAGATGTGATGGAGACGCTACCGGTGCTTTTGGTTGTGTCTTGCGATGGGAAATCGGTTCTTGGGTCGGCGTCCGCTTCACGTGATGTCGTCGGACGCTTTCGTGGAGGTGAAAGATCCATAGATCTGAGGTGATTACATCCGAATTTATTGAGCAAAATCTAGAGATGAGATATGTGCGTGCAGGTTACAGCTATTGGATTTGAAATGTTGAAAAAAAGAAGTCAAAAAGAAAAAGAATCGTAATGAATGTGTGCAGGTGGGTTGGGTGTCTTAGGGTAAGGGAAAGCCAGATGTGTGTGCCGGTTTGTTGTTCTTGTGGGCCATGCACAAAACAAAAAATGTGATATCCAATCACGTACTGAATAGTAAAAATCAGCCCAAAATGAGTAAAATTTGACCCCAATTGATAAACAATCGCGCCCTAAGATTTCGGATTTGATTTTAGGTTTTAAAATCACCGGCTAATTTTATTAATGTAAATGTTTATATTTGGAATATTTGGATGATTGAAAAACCGCAATAATCATGTATTGGAATAAAACAAAACATAAGTTATCTACATTATTAAACAAAAAACAACGTACCTGTAAACCATATATAAGAAAATAAACACTTGACACCTATATATATTAGGATCCTAAATTGGCTTAAATAAATCAATTAAATTATTTAGGAGGATATATATGACATGATTTATAATGATATATATGACATGGTTTATACTGGTTTAATGAAGATTGTATAGCCAAATATAACGGAGTTTGTAAAATGTCTTTCTTGATAATCTATAGTCTTATTATTTTAAAATTATAAATTACTTACTTTAATGAAAGAAAAAATTGTGTAAATGTATGCAATCAATTTAAAATATGTATCCCCCCATATATAATTTTCGAATGCGCTAAGCCTACGTGGCTGCTTCTGTTTGTTGTCAAACGGGAGTTAACAACTATATAATCGACAGGGATTTATTGTAACTTCAAAATAAAACAGTAAAGACTATATGAACTGTAAAATGAGATAGAATTTTTTGGATATTATTGTATGCATGTCCTGCCTGGTTGGAGAACTGTTTTCTCCTTTTATATTTATTTACAACATTTATCTAATATGTAATCATTACACGAGAATAGTCAACGGCGGCTAATTGCCATTCATGCTAGTAACATGCCACTTGGCCAGGTGTAATGATGAGTTGTGCTGAGTTGGCACTGCCTCGTGGTGTCGGTTTAGCAAGTCATAGATATCGGCTCGTGTAGTTATAACCGATATGTCATAACCGACATGTAGTAACCGACATGTCATAACCGACATGAGATATTGGTCAATCGACGACGATGCCGGTTCTTGATGAATTTTTACTCGATAAGTGATTGTCTTGAGATTGGTGTCAGAGCCTTGAGATCCACAAAGACATTATCTACTTGTACGACTTCAATCATCCTTCTGTTGAACATAACTATCTGATCAACGTCACTTAATTCGGCTTACTGAAAATGATGTCAACACTGGTGCTTCGGAATCTTACTTGACAAATAATCATGCTTCGTAATTAGGCTTAAGTAGATTTAAATTTATTTCCAATCAAAATATAATTATGTCCGAATTATCTACAAATATGTTGATTATTTATGGTTATGATACATATATTAATTGTATTTTAATATCATTTCTTATTATAACCATTGAATTGTAAATGCATGGGGAGAATTGGCTTTGCTGGAGTATCTCGATGCGCTGGATCCGGCTCAGCTAGGCATTTCGGCAGTGGAGGGGTCGGCTTTCTTGGGCTAAGGGATTTTTCCGGGGTCGATTTGGTGACTCTCGATTCGTCTCGGATATGCTTCAGTGGAAGGGCTTGGTTTTTTGTTTATGTGTTTAGTATGTCCGTTGTCTGTGTTTGTGTTTTCTCCTTTGGGAGCTTGTTTGTTTAGGTCCTTGTGTTTTTGGCTTGGATCAGTTGATCCCTGTAAGTATGAGCTGGAGCAACCTTGATTCTCCTGTGGGGAGCAACTCCCGTCTCGATTCTCCTGTGGGGAGCTTTGTAGTTTTTTATTTGTGTTTGATTGTAGTAGTTGGCTTGTGAGTCTTGTTTTTGGTTTCTAGCGTTGCTAGAGTCGGGTTTCTAGGCGGTCGTCTGACCTGTCCTCCCAGTTTTCAGTTTTAGTTTTTTTTTTCTATTCTCCCGTTGGGAGCTTTGTATTTTTTATTCGCACTTTGTGCGTTTGGTTTATAATAGTTCCTCTATCGTTCCGGCCAAAAAAAAAAAAAATAACTTTTGTAATTTTTATCAGTTTTACATATATATAATATATCAAATTAATCATCTCTTGATGAGCTTCGATTTAACATCCATATTTTATGTATAATAAATTATATTTATCTTTGTAACAATAATAAAATTATTTTTTAATATTAATTAGAAAAATAAAATTATTTATCAATTAATATATTTATATTTTAAGTAGTTATATGATATACGTTATATACATTAGTTGCAACTTTTTTTTAGATATTTTCCAAGAAGGATATGAGAAATTCGATTTATTCTAAATTTTTCTACGGATTTGTCTACTAGAAGTTTTTTTTTTTGGATTTTGGCAGAACTAAATATTTAATTTTGTTCCTTTGAATGTACTCGAAACAAGGACTCGGTTATGTAAAAACCCTGACACAAAAGAATACTTTGAAAAAAAAATATGATCCTTTCCTCAGTGGATCATCTCGGAAAACCTTCTTTTTCCTTTCAGCAATGGGCGGGAGAATGAATCGAGAAAATTTAGGATTGTACCAACTACAAGACCTTATGATAGCCAATACGTGTCCTCACCACCCATCAATGCATGGTGTTCTTGGACTGATTGTTACTCTCGATGGTGAAGATGTTATTAACTGTGAACCAATATCGGGTTATTTACACAGAGGGATGGAAAAAATAGAGCAAAACCGAACAATTATATAATATTTGTCTTATGTAACACGTTGGGATTATTTAGTATTTGGCTACTATGTTCACAGAAGCAATAACCGAAAATGGGCCCGAACAGATAGGCAATATTCAAGTATCTAAAAGAGCTAACTATATCAGAGCTATTGTGTTAGAATTGAGTCGTATCACCTCGCATTTGTTATACCTTGACCCTTTTATGGGAGAAATTGGGGCACACACAGACCAAATTTCTTTATTTCTAAAGACAAGAAAGAAGAACTATGAATTCATGATGAGTTATCGCATGTTCATAGTTGGTCAACAACCAACCCAAAAAGAACTCTAATTCATCAAAACTCGTAGATGATCCACCGCGAACCCCGGTTAGATTCAGGCTTGCTACACTTTTTAGTTATTGGGAGAACCCATGTACTCTCTTTCCGATTCACGAAACAACTATCAGAGATCTTTTTTCCTTTTGGAAGGTAGAGGAATTACTATAATATAACGCATGTAAGTTGCACAAGCAACAAGTGTCATTTTAAAATATATAATAATATATTTTTTTGATAAAAAATTAAATAAAATTTAAAATAATTTTTCTCATTAATTTTAAAATTTCAAAGTAATTTTTTAATTACAAGCACCCGTGTAATACACGAGAGCTGTACTAGTTCTATAGGATTAAACAAAACCCAATTTTTTAGGATGTTCCGATTTGATTTCATTTTGAATATCAAATTAATATTATATAACTCTGTTTTATATTTATAAAAAATCTGAACTAAACAAAGTAGTAGCCAAATGATATGAGATTTTTAAATTTTAATTGTCAATTTAAAAGTGGGTCGATTTCTATGCAATTTGATGATTTTTTTTAATAAACATGATCCGTGACAATTAGATAAAGATAATGTTATATTTTGCCTAATTCAAAATTCTCAATTTTATGGTAAACAATATTTTTTAATAAAAACATGAGAATTTTGACTTTTACAAAATTGTCATGCCGAATGTTACATAAATGAACCCGATATATATGCAATCTGATTTTTTTAATAAACAAATGATATGTTGAAATTAAGAAAATATATAATTTAAACACAGGTCATTACTCTCTCTCCCTCTGTGACTCTAGCCCACCGATTTCATCTCTCTCGGGGTGTTCGTCGTTTAGCCGTCGCCTTCCCTAGTTGGGCTCGACGAGTGCATGGTGGTGGCTCCCCTGAACTTCGCAACCCTTTTCCGAGAGAAGTGTCGCGCGGGGGAGGGGGTGCTTTTTTGCCGGGGAGACGGTCGTTCCCGCTTTTCTGGCTCCCGTCTCAGGTGCCGGAAGTGAGGTTCAAGTGGACGGTTCTCCTTCGGTATTGTCCATTTTGGTGGCACTCTGGTGCTCTCTTGGAGAGCCTGCGACCCCAAAATCCGATTTAGGGTTTGGGGTAGAGAAAGGGCTCCAGTAATTCCTTCTTCCCGTAGTGATTCAGTGGTCGCCGATGATTGTAGATGTCATTTAGAGGTGTGGTTGTTTGCTATTGTTGGTTTGTCAGGCTGAGCTGCTCTGCTCGAGCTGCGGGGAGTCAGCAATTGCAGGTCTGGTGCTGAGTGTTGGTGGTGGGGTCGTCGGCGATTGTTGGGTCGAGGCTGTGGGTGAGGTGCGGTTGTCGGCGATTGTCGTGCTTGTTTTAGGTCCAGAGTCGTCGGTAATCGCTGGGATATAGTTGTATGGTTTGGCTGGGATTTGTTTCTTCGGGTGATGGTGGGGTTTGTTCGTCTGGAAGAGGGTTGGGCCGACCCGTGTTTCTTCAATTCAGTTAGGCGCTGGTGCAGTTCCTGGGTCAGGATTTTGGGTTCAACTCTGCCATGTTTGTGCTCGATGTGGCTTTTCGCTGTGGGAAGGGCTCTTGTTGCCGTTTATCTTTGTTTTGTTTTGTGTTGCGTTGTGAGTTTTGTGATGTGTTGTTTAGATTCGTGTTAATTTGTTTCTAGTGTCAGTGTTTTTGGTTTGGGCCGTTGGCCTCTGTGCGCCCAAGTGTCTCTCTGTGCGCCCGAGTGTCACCTTATTACCCTGTTGGGGTCCGACACTCGGTTATTACCCAATTGGGGCCCGATGCTCAGGTATTACCCTGTTGGGGCTTTGTAGTTGTTTTTAGTTTTCTGTGGTTCGTTAGTTTAGTCACGTTGTGTTTTCTA